GACCTTGTCGCGCTATACTCATATTATTTCCCTATGTAAATTCGACAAGGAAATGAAACTTCTAATCAAATTTCCTTTTTCTCTCTAAATAAATAAATAAATAAATAAATAAATTTTATCTCCATCTTGAAACAGTTGAAAACGATAGATTGACGAAATCTGCAAACGCGTCTTCTTTCATTAAGACGTTACAGAAGATTTATGAGAAATCTAAAATCGAAGAAACACTCTTAACAGCCACTATTAAGTTCTTTTCACCTTTTCACACGCATACATAAAATTAAGAAATTAAAAGCTCGGCTTCTGAATGTCTCGTATATTATCTTTTTATTGATGTATTATCATAATTTTTATTAACGAATTATTCAACGATTCGTTATTATTATATAATTAACTAATATACAATCATTTTTAACGTCAAAACTTGGATAACATTCTAATTAATAGTTACTAATTATGTAAAACCTGTTTCGTTTCTCGTGCACGAAAATAAACGGGAGTAATCGAAACGAGGTTTCTTTTCTCAGTGTGAGTGTCTTGAAATTTACAATTCTCATCTGTTTAACGCGATTGTGTCATCTGATTAATTTCGTCCATTTCGAAATGACAACGCTCACTTTGTACCAAGGATTTTCCAAATGAAACAAAAGCAAATTCTTTCCATATATATCTGGTACAGTTTACACAGTTGTTACGTTTATTCGACAGAAATTAATGTTTCGCTGTTATAATTGATTTTAAGATGTTAGAGAAGATGATCGATCTCTTTCTTGCTTCCTTCCCATGTTCCTTCCAATTTAACGTGGACAATAATTTATGATATTATACCGTGTTATCATAAATTTTATTTCATCCAATCTTTGTATTACGATAAAAAGTTATCGATTAATTTTTTCCAAATTCATTATTCTTTCGCTCCCTGATAAATTTCTCGTTCTCTTTCCTATCGATATTATTTAAATGATTCCTGTCTCATTATGTCACAACAAAAATAATTTATAGAAATCGATCTCGAAATATTAATGTATTCAAATCGTAAAATTGAGGGAAATTAAGAATACGAAAATACATACAGAAGTTATGAAATATCGTTTCTACTACATCAATCCATCAATCATAGATAGAAAGTTGTTCAAAAATAATAACTTACAGGATAGTGGTAAAAGTAGTCCAGTTCTGTTTGTATCGGCGTACGCATATTCTTAATTCGTTTCAAAAGCCAAGGATGATTTTTTTTTTTTTTTTCGAGAAAGAAAGTTACGAACGATCGAAATTCGATCAAAGAATGAGAATATATTTCTGAAATTTCACGATTGTTCGATCGGACAATCGGTCGAATTTCCCTCGTAAAAGTGTCGATGTTCGTTTCAACGACGGATGAAGAGACGCAACGAACTTTCTTTCTCGATAGAAACACAATTCCTTTCATTCTCGATAAAAGCCGTCGGCCGGGTGAAATTCGTCGCCGTCCTGTGTCACGCAACGTGGGACCGATCATGCTCATTTTCATGACAATAAACGGTGTCTGTACGGTGTCGTAGATCGTTTTGATAGGGGGGGCCACCGTAACACGGACGTGAAATTTTTTGGTATGCCTTCGCACGCGCAATCGCGCAACGTCCGTCTCCCCCTTTTGCCCGATGTAAATGGAACAAATTGCTATAAAGATTTACATCTCGCGTCACAATTTTATGTTGTATTCATTATATACGGATGACGGAATTTATTTTTTTTCCATTTTTATCACTTTCCATCTTTAATTATTAGGGCTGTTTCGACTTCGAATGATTTTTTTAATTGCACGTTTTATCTGTTATTTGAAATTTAAAAATTACAAATAAATCCAAACTCTTTCGCCACTTTCAAATAATTATTATGAACGGAGAAAGGAAATGCACGCGTTGAAGAAATAATTCGACATATTCCTTATGAAATAATTTATGACAATGATTTCACTCTCCTCGTCATTGTTAAATGTCAAAATTTTTCTAATATTATTAGAATTCCATTATTAGGCCAACCGATTCTCTACGTTTACACGATAAATCATACGTCAATTAATCATAAATCAAATCGATCGGGTTAACATTGAAATTCGAAAGGGAAATACCCGATCGGGTAAAGTCCTTCTCGAAGAATCGTTTCTTTTTTTCCTTTTTTTTTTTTTTTTTCTTTCTTTCATTCTTAGTCTATCCGTTGATCCATAAACGCGAAAACAATCGAGTAACCAAATTAGGTTTGAACAACGCAGAGAAATTCGAGCGTAGGAATTTTCGACGGTTTCGTTTCGTATATACCGCGAATAGCTGTTATGCAATAACGAGGAACGAGCCCATCTCGAGCGCGTAACAAACGGACCGTGGAGATTCGTGTATATAGGAAAGAAGGGAAAAAAAGGACAAAGCCAGTTTCCGGTGTCGAAATCGGCCGAGAAACGATTTTATGCAACGCGTACAACGAAGCGGGGGTATACTTTCTTCTTGCGGGATTCCTGCCCCCTGGTATCCTCGAAAAATTGAATTTCTATCTTTCGATCCAGTTCCAATTCGTCACACGTCGCACGATTGCACAGAGATCGAGATCCATGTATCAACCATGTATCGCCACCTGCATCCTCGTCGCGTACACCGGTTTCACCTAAAACGTCTCTCTCTCTCGTCGACTAGGGACACCAGGAATGCTCGAAATTAGAAATACAGTCCAAATTTGGAACGTCTTCTCGAAAGCTTTGCACTTGGAACGACTTTTTTTTGCGCGCACGGTAGAATTTTTTTTTTCTTTCTTTTTTTTTTCCAAGTGAAGGTACGAAGACAGAGTCACGTTCACGACTGCTTGGTAGAAGTACAGCCGACCACGACGGTCAATTAACATTGTTGGAGGTGCAACAGTCCTTGTAACACTAAACATATTATCCGCTGTCTAAGGGGTTAGAAAAATCGGCTTATTCCGATCAAGGTAATGAATCATCGGTGTTTAACGAAATAACAATCGGTCTAATAAGAGCAAGGTGAACGAGAGAGGGACTACGGTGATCAGAATCTCGGCGAACAATCTGGTATGCCGGTGCGCGACGTCCCCGGACAAAGAGGGTTCCAAGAGGGTTCCTTCTGCATAAATTTCTTCTACGAACGAAGATCCTTTCTTTCGCTTCTTTTCTCTCTTTCTCTTTTAATACTAGCTAGCTCGTCTTTCCATTTATAACGAGGCAAATGTGCACGCAGAAGGAGGATCGTTCGCGTTTTTCGAAATGTCAACCGCACTTGAATTTGAAATTCGCCGAATCCAATGGCTATTAATCGGATGAAAATCGGGTATCGATCCCGCTTGATGAAATTCGATCACTGTAGAAACGTAGGATTAAGGATTTGCTTATTGGAAACACGAATTTGAGATCGTTTTATAAGCGTAAATATCTAGGTGAATATCGATTGCGTCGATCGGTTCTTCCATCGAAAATTTTTTTTCGAATGAAAGGATAGTTAGGATGAAAAATGATAATCCATTAATCACTATTCCACCCCATGATTATCCCCTTTGCCTGTAAACGAAACCTTGCCTTCTCATTCATGAGGATCACGAGCGATGGTATGAAATTTATACAAATTTTTCGACGAGATGATTTTTTTTTTTGACTAGCGGCAGATGAATTAAAAAGAATTGTTTCTTGGTGTACAACTTGTTTTGGTTAGTTGGAGAAATTTCTATTTTAAAATGATGGGTAATAAACGTAGAAATTCATTAATCGAAACGAGAAGGAACGGATAAAGAAGAGTTAGTTCGCGCACTAAAGTACACGCGCACTAGAGGAATTCTTGATCCACCTTGGAATTTCCTAATGTAGTCCCGTATAAAATCGTCTCGATGCTTTTTTGTTCGATTGCACTGCATCACTTGATTTGCATGATGATTAAATCTTCTCTAAAAAAACGATCGACTCGGGACGAAATAAAAAAAAAGAAAAAAAAAAGGACGATTCCAATTTTCGTCCAATTTGTTATTTTCTTTCGAATATCAAATTCACACTTTTGCGTGTCGCAATGCAACAATGTTAACATAACGATCACCTGATATAGCAGTAGTTTCTCAGATTACTTTTTTTCAGCTGGCCGCACAAACGAGATATTGCGTGAACACACAAAAAATTCGGTCACTTTCTGTAATGATCCGGTCACATGTCTGACGATACAATTATTTCCAGCCTTTCCAACGAAAAGGAGAGAAGAAAAAAAAGAAGGAAAAGAAAAAAAAAAATCAATTTCAAGAATCTTAGAATAAATTTTTAAAAAATTCTGTAAAATCTTCCACGTCTTTTGGCATCATTCACTAACCTTAGACTTTTAATCTTTTATATTGTTTAAACTTATTACTTTAATTAATTATCAAAATAATTATATTTATTACTATAAGTAACAGTTAACTTTTAAATCATTTTAATTATAATATACCTTTCGAATATTATTATTACGTATTTAAT